TCGGAGCAGTATAGCGTGTGTGGACACAGTGTAGACATCGCGTGATTGATGCCGGTGTTGTTCATCGGCTCTTGATGACTGCTGGGATCTGCAAGGCTACGTTGAAGACACTACGGACCGACGGATCTAGGAAAATTGCCACTGGGCCCGGGAAACACCTTCGGGTTGTTTTCGGTACTACGACTGTGCCAAACTAGGGCCACGCCTGCTCTGTCGCAGAAACTGGCAGAAGGATGTACGGCTGCAAGCGCTGACCATCATCGGCATCGGAGTGGTGAGTCAAACATGTCAACAAAACATTGCAACTCTTTGCAACTAACACCGACCAAAACCGCCAAGCAGGCTCTCGTATGCGAGCGTTCAAGCACTTTGCGAAACCTTGGCTTCAAGCTCCTCCGAGATTGCAACCTGAGGCCCACTTTGCAATTGCTGGGAAGCAGCGAGGTTGGATACAACTGCTCGTAGGCATGCGGGCTGTGAATTGCTGAGGAAGTATCACGAGGATCGCACTTAACGAAAGTACTTCCGTTATCACAAACTTATTGAGCGCTAGCGGGACTACGATTGGCGCTTTCTGTTTGCGCTTAACGATGAACACATCGATCAGACGGCATACTGGAGGCCGACTTTGGACGAGCAGGCTCAGCGATGCAGCCAATAAAGACAAATAACACTTTTGAGACAAATAAAGGAAATTACACTTTTTTTTGCACTTTAAAGTTGGACAGGGAACGTCGAACGAACCTGCGTGGCGGTTCGGGCGAACTATTTCTGTGTCGGGTTTCAAGCCAGGGTGCCGTGTTGCGACATGCAAGCTTTACAGACGACTCGCACAGCTTCCGGCAAAGGATGTGATGTGCTTCTTGTCGTTTGACACGAACCATGACAGGCAGCGAGAATCTCCTTCGTAGCCGGGTCGATAAGCAAGCTCATGTCCGATCGGCAATTGACAACAGCCCTCAACTGTGTGGCGCAGCTCTGTTCACTATTCGGAGTCAGCGACAATACAATTAATCATTCATGCCCATTTGGCTCGCACAAAGCTGACTGCATCGTTGGGACCTTGGATACCTTTGTAACTCACACAGCAGGTTACATGCTGCTGGCGCCCCATTCGTGGCATCACGCCAGGCATCCGAACTTTCCGGGACTTCGGAAGTCTGCTCTGAGCTCAGGCAGTGCGCGCAAGCCGCGGATGCGCGGGAACTGTCGGGCTGAAGAGCTCGAACATTAGGTATAGGAATTTCCGTGGGGCTTTGCATTTCACGTAGCCAAAGATTCTTCGACTACTTTCCTACTAGCGGAGTAGCATTTGAGCCCTGAAGCCGAGACGTGCCTACACCCCAAACTGACACCGAGATCAGAGGAAAGATGCACGAGCTCTTTTGCCACGTCGCCGAAGTGCAGACCGCTCCGATCGAAGGACCGTTTCAGCCTGCTCGGCCTCATGGTAGCCATGCTTCCATAATATGTCAACAAGTACCTGCTATAGCATATACCAACACGACAAAGGGTCCGGTCTGACGTGTAGTGCTGCTGTCCTTCTACTGTTGTGAGTATCGTAGGACATAACTTAAACAGATATCATGTTCGCGCTGCACTGTCGAACATCGTACGGTGCCGATGCTAGAATAGGCCTAGGTAAGCCGCACCAGCATTAGCCTTTACGTGGGAACAGATGCCAACTACACGCTGAGACGAGTCGGACTCGCGAGAGGACGGGATGCGACTTTCGAGAGACAATGAAGAATCAGCCAAGGCCGAGGCCGCCTTCTCTCCCGGCGCTGCGGAGCTTTCCGAAGCCTACCGGCTTCAGGTGTAGGGTTTGGGGCATTTTAGGCTTTCAGGTTCAGGGTTGAAGGTTCAGGAAGGGCGTGCTTCTCAGGCATTGTTGCTTTAGCACGGAAGGATTTACAAGCAAGCAAGCGAAGAATTCCGTCCATCCGCTCAACTGCTTCTGTGCAAAGCTGGGATGCTGCGAACTTCATGGGGACGGTCAGGATCAAACAGGTACAGAGCGCCAAAGCGCAAATCATCCACAGATTCTCACCCTAAACCCTCAACCCGTCTTAACCCTTAAACCCTAAACCCTAAAACCCTAAAACATACGGCTTTCACCTGCTTGATGTCCGTGGGAGGGGCCAAGGCCTCCTGGGCTCCACGCTTTCCGTCGGCTGGCCTCCACAAAGCGGAGGCTGGGCAAGGGCCATGGACAGGTATAAGTGGGTTATAAGCCCCCCAATAGGAGTTATAGCTATAGTTACCCTACTTAAAACCACACCGTGCACCTCCAAGTAGGCAAGGGCCATGGGCAACAAAGGCTCAGGCTTGAATTCTGCAGACATGAAGGGCAGGCAGCTGTTTCCTTGGCAGCCATCAGTTGAGAATACAACCAATGATGAGGTGGGCAACCCCACCGAGAGGAGGAAAGCCCCGGCAGCAAAGAGTGCGGCTCTGCCGTCGTATTGAGAAATGAGGACATGGTGAGCATCTCATGTTCGGTCCCCTTGTTCAGGGCACTGTGGCACTGTATGGGTTCTAGCATCCCCAAGCTTACGTCAAGATTGTTGATCTGTGGATCTTCTGTTGAACATGTATCCATCCTCTAGCACACTTGGAAGGCTAGCATTCGCGATCTGGCCACTCTCGATCGCCGGCCTTCCAGATAGCCGAATGCGCCCCATGTGCGGACTAAGCACATGTATGGGTGATGCCGAATGCTGTGGAATCTGGTCAACGAAACCGGGACATTCGCAATTATCTCAACATCCCATCGGGCGATTAGAAAACCTTCTAGACCCACACGTACATATCAATTTCAGTCGGTCCGTGTGGACTCACAAATGTCGTCATCTAAGTCTGATATGCTGCTGAACGAGTCCTGTCTGCACGCCCCTAGCGGATCACCCTGTCAGGCCAAAGTGGAGAAGACTTGCATCGGCAACTCTATGCTGTTGAGAGCAGTCTGGGCACTATGCATGCATGTGAGAACTGCAGCTCCACAGCTCCAAGCACGGACGCAAGCCGGTGACTGTTTTTCCCTCGTTTCTCATCTGCAGGCATGTGGGCATCTTGGGCCCCTGCCGCATGGCCGCTGGCACGGGATGTTGACCCTTGATCTGCTAGGCCCTCTATGTCCTGGTTGTTAGGCCAGTAGGCACGGTGCAATTCCCTTTGCAAAAACAGAGCACCGCTGATGCATCTTCTTGACTTACTTGGGTTGTCGGGGACCCGGGGCACACGAGTCAGTGGTCAGCTTTAGCTGCCTAGTCTGGGAATGTTCATCTGCCCCGTCATGCCGCCTCTGCAACAACAACGACCATCCACGCGGCCACGCGGGTGAGATCTCGCACGCGGGGCTTCAGTCACTCACCAAGACCATCTATCTCAGTCTCCTGCAAGGAAGCATCCACCTGAACGGATTTCAGCGGCTGACGGCTTTCAGGTTTGTGGCTCGTTGTTTCCGTGGTGAAGTTGTAGAAAGCCAGAGCGATGAGCATTCCAAAACGAGTTGAAACAAACCTTTGCAGAAGGACCTGCAGTGCATCATGACACGTAACACCCAGGCCTTGAAGGATTTGGGTGAGCCACCGCTGCCAGGACAGCCCTTCCCAGGGCCAATCAATCAGCATTCCCATCCAGCATGCGAGATTTATCCGAACAAGGCCCTCGGTATTGTAAAGATTGCGATAGGATCGGTGGGTTCGTACTCCAACCCCGATTGGTTTCAGGAGTTGTGTAATTGGGTCACTGCGGATATGCTCATGCCTGGAAGTTAGCGGGTACATCGCGGGCGAAGGAACAGAATCAACGAAGGATCCATGCAACGCAACATGGGCCTCGTAGAAGAAGTCGCATGCATCTGAAACGATGTCCATGCATCGCTGGGAATATCCTGGCCCCCGGGCAAACAAAATCGGTAGAGGAGGAACAGTGACAAATGACCCTCCGTGTCCTGCAGTGGCATTCCACGCCATGGAGATCTGCACATCAGATAGGGCGACTTGATGTGAGTGACTTGCTGGGACATTGCTTCTGAGTTCTTGTGCCACTGCTCCCCAGAAACAAACAAGGCAGCCCAATAATGGTGAAGCGGACGTTCAAACCATGTGCCTCCCGGAAAATCACCACTATACAATGCCAAACTTTGGATAGCCCCAACAAGGAGTTTGGGAGGTGGTATGGAGTTTGCGGTTTGGGGTTTAGGGTTGGGGTCCTGCACCCTCACTTCAATCAACAACTACACAATTGGTAGGAGCTTGGATAAGGCGCCGGGCCTGCGGCCCCAAGCGCCAGAGCCAACCTCAACTACGATTCTGCGGCATGCAAAGGTGTGTCTACAGGGTCAACTTCGACAGGGACTTGCCTTGCAGCAAAGAGCCTGAGTGCCAGGCTCAACATCCCACCTAGCAGGAGAAAGCCTGGCTGTACTCGGTTGGAAATTGGTAGCCTGTAACTCCAAAATAAGATGATTGGCACCTGCCTGATCTCAGAAACTCCATGCAACTGTCATAACGACCTCAGCTGCTGAGCGTTGCTTTCAGCCATGACGTAGCTGGCACCTGCCTAGAAGATCCATGCCATGAAGCTCCAGAACATGCAACACTGTAAGTGCCCAGCTCGAAGTGTCACCCAGGCCCAGATCGGACATGTTCTCTTATGATAAGTTTGCCTACTTGTAGCGTGGCTTTGACGCTCGGCTGCGGGCAGGCGCAAAGCATCACGAGCACTTATAACCGGATGATTCAAGGGCGACAGTCACTTGCAGCAAGTACCACATTCACTCTTGTCTCTGCTCCCTGCTGCGCAGTCAAGTCTCGACCTCGCGGCGTCCTCTGGCCTTCGTCGCTATTCCTTGCGCCTCGCCGACGGGACCCTCCGAGGCGGTGATCTTGAAGGCCACTCCGTGCAGCATGCGAGGACCTGGTGGGATCTCCTTGGACCCTTTAAAATTACAATCCTCTGTGACGTACAAGACCACGTCATGGAACGGTGTTCCCCTATGTGCATGGATACTCAGACCGTGTCGCGGAGCATGCTTTGAAAGGGTCCGCGAGGAAGATCTCCTTGCTCTTTTCAAAGATGCTGCTCGCGATATCCCTGCAGCTCTGCCAGGCTGCACGCATTGCAAGTATCGAGCGGTCTGCGTCCATGTCGCCGATCAGATGAAGGATGTCACAAGCAGATCCTTGTTGCCCGGCGATCCAAACTTCGACGAGGCGGGGACGAAGTGTCAGGTACCACTCCAGGTCTGTTTCGGCAAAAGCGCGCAGGGCTTTGACTGCTGCTTTTCGGCATGCATCATTGGGCCCACAGGCCTCCAATAAAGCCTGCACGCAAGCCTCCCTGAACCTCCCAAGTAGATGTGGGCCACGGATGGCAAAAGCCAGACAAATCTCCACACGAAGTCCATCGTCTGCATGCCGAAGCCAGTAAATCATATCCTTGATAAGGAGGTGCCGGACTGCTTTGGCCTTTGCTGTCTGAAAGCATTGTCCAGCCCAGAAAACCAAAGTTCGCTGGGCATTCTTTGCAATGGTCTCGTGCGGATGTGAACAGTGACACCTCAACCTCTCCGCAATACGGATGGCAGACTCAGGCCATGCTTTGTACCAAACGTTGATGCCTCTGATGAAGGAACGGATGCCTGAACAGAAATGCAGAACTGGTACTGAGCAAAGTTTCGGCATTTTGATTTGGGTGGTGTTCTAGGAAACCGGCTCTCTCGAATGGTCATTCCAAGTCGGCTAGTCCACAGTCTCGAGCACTGGCAAATGGCCGTGCAAGTATGAGGAAAGTTTTTGGCTTTATAGGGAGGGGTGCGAGGATTCGCCAACGTATGGCAACAGACAAAGCCACGGCAGAATCTCAAATCCCCGAATTCTCAGGGTTGTTTTGGGCTGCTCCAATCTGGGTGTAGCTGTACGCCACACCTGGAAGAAACCCCTGCACAAGGTCTGTGAATCATGAAAGCTGCTCTGCCTGCTCGCGACTGATGGTCGTCGCCTCCCATCCTTGTCCAGAAGTCTTCTCCGTCAACTGTTTCTTTGCCGCTTCCCAAGGCCATGAAGAGCATGGGCCCGCGCTCGGGCTCACTGACTCGCACATCTTCTTCAGGATGAGGCCCCGACCAAGAACCCTCCGTCAACCTCAGCAAATGGCCGACCAACTCCTGCCATCAGGGCAGGGTTTGACAAAATGGTGCAACATTGAACTTCACTGGCCTTCGTGTGCATGCAATCAAGGGAGTCTCTGCATGTAACACGCAGCGCTGCATAGGAATGTACCTTAGCACACATACTGGATAACTGCTGAATCCTGCTCATACATAATTGACCCTCCGACAAGCCTCTCTCACACACACACACACACGTGCAAGTAAACACCAGCTCCAAAAAAGGCCTAGTAAAACCAGATTCCTGACCATATCCCTTGTGCCCGAGCAGCTGAAAGGCAACTGGTCAGCGTATCTGGAAACCTTGGATCCGCGCACTGGCACCGAACACGTTATGAAACAAAAGATGCACGGATGAACACGCTTCATGAAGCTATCACAAGGAAGCCGTCGACAAACCCGCAACATCCCAAGTAGTGAATTTGCTTTCGAATGGGAAAGCCGGTTTATGTACGGTGGAGACTTTTTCCTTGCTACTGTGGGCTAAGCTGGGGCAAGACAAGCGACTCGCCCACTATGTTGAAGACTCTCATCCAGGAAGGAGCCTGACACAGAAACTGTTGGATAAGGACCTAGTTGTGGTATACACTCTTGATGATTAATAATACTCATCATCATAATACTATGATGATTAATAATACTCATCATCATAATACAAAAACGAATAACAGTAATAGTGCTATGAACATATAGACATAATACAAACACGAATAACAGTAATAGTACTATGAACATATAGACATATACGGATTTATGAGCAGTATATACAAGTGTATATCTATATATGGCACCTGATGCCTTCAAGCACTCCGACCCCACCAAGATCAATAGGCGTGTCGTGATTGATTGACTTTCGCTGTTCGCAGATACACGTCTCCTCAGCCGCAGCTGTCCCACTAAGCAAGGTGGGCCAAGAACGCAGCAACACCCTAACCCGTATAGAGGGGCCGTAAAATATGAAGAGAGACTATAATAAGAAACCCCAAAAGAGCATTGGTAGTTATAACTGTAGGCCGTCCTTGCACCAAGGAAAACCTGGTCGGCAGGCAAACACTGGGCTTGTCATTGAATTGGCTGACAAGAATATAATGCCGCTCCAAACAGGACCTCGCCATCCCCGCCCCCCGCACCCAGGTTGTTGCAAATCATCACGTAGTACAATAAGCCAACTTGATGCGGCACACCCGGCTTTTCCAACGAAACATTGTGCTACCAGCTCATGGACGATATGACTTCAAGTAAACAGACAAAAGTTTGTCCACATTGCATACATATCACATATGTATACACACACACATCAACATCGGCCGAATCTGGAGCCAAGGCTGGGTTTCACGTGCTCTGTGCGACAGCGCCACAATGCGTCACATGTCTACAGATTCCAAAGCCAGCCTGCGCCGTCTCCTGCTCCGATTCACCATTCCACCCTAGCCTTCGTGGCTCGTCCGTGGGGGCCTTCGCCAGGTCTCACCGTCCAGTTCTCAAGTCCGATCTTGCTCGCTGTTAGCAGCACATGAAAACAGGACCTGCCAGTAGCTGGATGGCCATAGCACCCGTCAAAAGCAAGACATCTTCGAACGCCGCGGCCTCCGGCGAGTTATTCGTGTCGACAGTCTCCTCCTCACGAAGCAGAAAGCAAAAGTCGATCATGCACTCAAGACACAAAATCGCCTGCAGCCCTCGTTGCTCGTCTAGGTCGAACTCCAAAGGGCATGCCGTCGATGCCGTGGAAAGCCTGCCGAATCACAAAAAGCCGCACAGCCCGTGCTTCTGGGCGTTTCAAAGAGCGCAAGAACCAGCCTGGGAGCTCGCTTGCTGAAGTCAGCTGCCTCCGTCTCCTCCGCTTTTCAAGGTGATCTGGGAGTTTCCGAAAATAGAGGACCCTGATGTAGTACCCTAAATAGTAGGATCCTTATTGTCAGGACACCCAAATAAGGTACCCCTTTTTTCGGAAACTCCCATCTAACAACATCTGGCGCCGGCTTCCGATGATGTGGGCTCCAATCGGTCCTTGTTCGTATCTTCGCGAGAACCTGACCTTAGTCACTCGGACCAACATAAGACTCGAAGCACAAACATGCGGGTCGTACTACGATGCAGACTCAGTTGCTCTCAATCTGCTTTGGTTAGACGTTCCTTTGCGGGCAAAATTCAGTCCAGAACTCCAACGTCTGTCATTCACAAAGCCTCGAGCCTGGAAAAGATTCTCGTAGCTTCCTTCTCGGATTCCTATGTATGATATACGCATCTCCCTTCTCCACTTTGCTCCACCTGCGGAGCCGTTTTCACATGTGCCACCAAATCACATACATACATACATACACTAGGACACAGTCCCACCCCTGGGTTGTCTGAAAGGTGGTTAGTGCGTTCGTCTGCTTTGCTCTTGAGCGAATCGGCAATCTTGTAACTGTCCCGAGGTGCCTTCAAACCCTGATTTGTTGCTTGGCCATAAAGCAATTCTGGCCTTGAGTATATGTGTGTTGGTGTTTTTCTCACAACACTATGCGATCTAAACATACTGAATACACTCAAACACGAATGAAGAGCCCCGAGGGACTGACAACGCGTGCGCTCAACGAACAAGTTCTGATATACTGCAGATTTTGCCTTCGATAAAGGAAAAGGACGTCACGCAACCAGGAACATGAAGAAATGCCCAATGTCCAGCTAAACCCAGACGAATTTAACCGAGAGGCTGTTCTTCTCCCTCAGAGGCAGGCAACTCGATGGCCTCTGCACATGTGCAGCCCATGGCATCGTGAACTTCGCCAAGTGGCGGGTGTCACGGACAGACAAGACGAGACATCTGAGCAACACGCTGTGGATGCCAGGGGCGGCCTAAAAAGGCAACCCATTCCATCGATTTCGGACCACGAGCAAACGCGGAGGCAGTCCTTGGAGCCCAATCCTCGAACGAAGCCTGGCAAAATCAACTGACACAGAGTTGAAACTTGGGTCTTTGATCCCGGACAGAAGCAGCCTCCGCATATAATGACCTGAGATGAGCTGCGAGGTCAAAAGAAACGAAGTCTTGGTGTTCAAAGTCTTCTCTCAGAGCCATGCCCAGCGTCCTCCCAAATGGTGCATGCGCATGCGCCAACTTTGTCCTGCCACGCACATGCAGCATACACATGCACGTGCCATCGCCCCGCTTGTCAAATCTTCTGACGGTTACATCAACAAGCATCAAGGCTTCCCCATCCAAGTTCTCTCGAAACATTCGCCCACCTGTGCATAGATCAGCGCCTCCCTTCGGAGTTTGCTCTCACCTCGCGCGAGAGAAACTCACCAGACTTGAATGCAAACTCTCGCCAACAGCGGCGGATCACACCTCCAAAAAGCGAGCGGATCACATCAAAGCAAGTGGCCATGTCTGGAGTGGATATGTGAGTTACCTTGGGCGCTGCAATCTTGTTGGCGTGCTGATGCTACTTTGGATGATTCGAAACATGAGGCCTTCCCTACACTCCAAGCAAGTCCTCGGGCCGAGGGAAGAGCAGGAATCGTGCTGGCCGTCTGCAGGGTTCAGGGTTTTGGGCGACTTTAAACGATCGACATGCTCGCTCTCTGCACGGTTGAATCGGGTTACTCGACAAATGCCCTAGCCCTGCGCACGTCTGCACGTTCTTGGTCAGCACGAAATGACAGGCTGTGTGCACAGAGCTGTTGTTTTCCTCTTGCGCGTCGAGAGCTACGAGTGGGCTAGATTGGCAAAGGAGAATCGGGATTAGGGCTGGGTTCAAGGTTTAGGGGGTTTGGGGTTTAGGGCCTTAGGGTTTAGGGATGAGGATTTAAGGTTTAGGGTTTGGGGTTTAGGGCCTTAGGGTTTAGGGCTGGTCTTGACCAGAAACTACGTAGTGCACCTTGATGATTGACACATGGCGACATATAGCTATGCACCAGCGAGAATTCGAAGCCATTTGCGTTCGAAGCAATCCCTTACTTAGCAACAGAGCCAATCTTCTCCTTTCACTCGGCCCGGCAACTCAGGATTTGCTTCAAGATCCCTTCAGTGCTTCAAGCCTAGCAGGGCCGATTCTTGACACCGACAGCTCCAGGGAATGGCCTAGTCCAGGAACGAGCAATTCACAGCCAGGGTCGCGTTCTGGCAGTGTGGGTCCCACATGCGCGTCTCAAGATACTTCAGATGAGAAGCCCGTACCGCTCTGCACATCTCGCATCTCCTGCATTCGCTTCAAGTCCACCTCAGGTACCAAAGGACGTGTATGTCACGGGAAAGCAATGTGTATTATATATATATATATATACATATATATATATGTATATATATATATATGTGTGGTATGGAGACGGTGCTGCCTTTGCGGGAACAGATGCCACCGACGCTCTCTGAAAGACAGGTCGGTCGAGCATGGAAGGGACTAGACTTTCGACACGCAGTGAATCAGCAAAGGCCACGGCCGTCTCTCTCGGCTGGGCAAAGGCGGAACTGTCTGATACCTAAAGGTTTCGGGTTCGAGGCTTAGGGTGTTACTAAGGTTTCGGGTTGGGGATTGAGGGTTAAGGGTTGAGGATTTAGGAAGAGCGTGTCTCTTGGGTTGCTTCACCACGACAGCATTGCAACAGCTCAGCTGGTTCTGCGAAAAAGTCAGATGCTGCGAACTTCATCGGACCAAACAGGTCAGGTCTGTCGGGCACAGCCGGATATCGAAGTCAGGCGAGACGAGCAACACTTCTCCAAACATAAGGTTGGTAATTATCTAGACTTCTTCTGGAGCAAAACTGAGCCCTAAGCCGCCAGGCTGCACAACCAGGCGGCTTAGGAGTTCGGGGACTGTCACTGGCAGTTTGCCAATGACACTGGTAGACACAAGGATCCGACGATGCAAGCGAAGTGTAGCCGGCCTTTTCCGTTCTGCGAACGTCCACGAAGCTCTGGAGAGCCGCACAGAAGAGGCCTATGGCCCGAAGACAGCACTATGTGCCGTACAACAACTTGTAACCAAAGCTTGGGCCGAAGGAGCTCCTGTGCAGCAGAAAGGTTGTACAAAAAGCCTGGTTCGGAGTGTTTGCTTAAACATGCCGTGGCATTGCCTTCGACACACCCCAATCATTGTACAAGTAGAATCAGGCTTGCGTGCTTTCGGCGACAGGCTGTACATCTAAGGGATCCGAGCGGTCAGCACCGTCCAACACACGTCGGCGCTTGGCACTCATGAAAGCTCCAGGATGCCGTAGGCGCCAATGCCCCTGCAGCAAGAACTTCTTCAAGACGTCTTGCTTGGCCGACTTGGTCAAACCGTCAGCCAACTGGTGGTCAGAGTCACACCAGTTGAGAATGGTGCCTTGGCTTTGAAGGTTCTCGCTGATGCCCATGAGCTCGAGAGAAAGCCATGCCAGGATCGGCTTTCATCAAAGTGTCGTACACACCTCGTGCATCGATGATCAAATGTCCTGGAGCTTGGGCAGTGCTGGCGGCGGGATTGCGCACGTCGATCTTGCCGCCATTGAGCTCAAACCAAGCGAGACGGGCATACATTAGCTCCTGTTCGCAATTACTCAGAGCCCGTGCCTCAGCAGACAACGAGCTTCGAGCTACCCGAGGCAGTTTGTAGCTGCGCCAGCTGATGATGTTCACTTTGCCCTGGCCCACCTCGATGGCCTTGGGACTCATCATTCCGATGATCAGTCCCCCAGTGCTCGTCCCGTCAGGACGATTCGCGAGGGATGCATCCGACCAGGCCACGAAAGTAGCAGCCTTGGGGTCGAACTGGCCCAGATGCTGAACCTGCACTGCGATATGTTTTGAGCTGTGAATTTCACGCACCAACTTGTTGATCTGATCCACACACGAGCCGTCACGAGACGGAAGTAGGCTCTGAAGCATACTCAGTTTCGCAGCATGATGGGGAGCCGATTGGGTGACGCGCCATTGCGCTGAACCCAGGATGGCCTTCGCCTGCCGTACTTGGTTGTCGTTCAAAGGAGTGCCCGAACTTGCCGGATCCATCTGAACCAAGTCGGCACAAAAGCTTGAATGGTCCAGTGTCACTGACCAGTCCTCATGTTGAAGAAGACGAATGCCGCAATGAACAAAATCTCCTTGTTGCCATGGTGCCCAGGTGTACGCGGCCTTGAACCCAGCCAGGAAATTGAGCCAGTTGGCATCAGTGGCACTTCCCATAATCAGAAAATCGTCAACGTGACTGGCAAGAATGCCGGCCACCTCGCCATCGATGCCTCTGATGATCCAGGCACAGGGATCTGTGCGGCATTGCTCTGCTCCCAGTCTCTTGAGAGTAGCTGACACATCAGCAAACCACTCCTTCGGAGCTGTAGCTAAGCCGTACGCTGAACCAGTCAGCTCAACGCACTCCTGAGGTGAAAGGCCTAACTCCTCCGCCAACTCGGGAAGGGGTTTTGCCAGAAGTCGGCGTCCTCGATCGGCGGGTCGAGCTTGTAAGAAGGCTGTCCTTACGTCGGCTGAAAAGATCGACCACTGTTTGATGCATGCCAAGTTCAACATCAGCTGCCTCGTCAACTTTGACATGGTAGGAGAAGCCGTAGTATCTTCCAGTAGGCCTGGGTCGCTGAAGCCAAGGATTACAATCCGGGCTTTCGCCTTGACTTGCGGTCTTCCAGCTTCGCTAGGGGCTGCCTCCTTGAATGTCAGCACCCATCGCATCCTCAACAGCTGAGACTCAGGAACATGCTCGGCCACCTTCTTGCATACCTTCAGCTGAACCCATTGTGCCACCTCGAGCCCTTTAGCCTCTGCCATAGCCGCGCGCTGCTCCGCCGAAAGTCGCTGCCAACTGATTTCCACACCCTTCGAAACAGACTTGCTCATGAACTTCTCTGGGTGCTTGACCATTTTCTTCCATGCCTGAGCATCAGCAGGAGCGTCAATGGTCACGGCAAAGACTTTGTCGGCCTCCGCGGTTTCCATGAACAGGCTAGACTCAGCAGCCTGCTTAACATGCAAAGGTCGGTCCTCTTGCTCATGTCGGGCTCGCTGTTCTCGGAAACTCTCTTGAGGGTAAGGAGCCACTCGAGCAGAGGAGGGAATCGGCTGGAAGGGCATGTAGCCAGGGTCGTTGAAGAGCTTGTTCAAGTCGATGAGGTCGTTGTCTGGGACCATCTCTTCCTCACCGCTGGGTTCAGGAGCATCTCGTTTCCGGGAGGATGAACCATCATCTGGTATCAACTCCTCTTCAGAGAGGGGTTCGGGTCCATCATGAAGTTGCTCTCCAGGGTCTTCAGGAAGATCATCTGCGGGAGGCTCGTCACCAGGAAGTTCCAGATCATCCGGGTAGATCGCCCGTTCGCGGGTCATGTCTTCGTACGCTCCTCGATTCAGCATTGCCGTGAGGTGCGACATGGTCCAAGGAAAGGTCGTGCCGCCAGATTGTTGTGCAATCAAGTGCTCAGCTTCCGAGGCAGGTCGGAGTTGAGTGTAGTGGCACTTTTTCAACCGGCCTTGGGCTATCACCCAAACATGTGAAGATGGCCGGCGTTCTCCTGGACTGCCTCGAGATTCTGTGGCAAGAACACGCGCAGGTCCAAACCATCGAGAGATCGTCATTCTCGGATGGTCAGTAGACAGGTTTGCTGGGAGGTCATGCGGCGTTTTGTAGCGGCGGTAGTAGACCAAGTCGCCCGGAAGGTAGTGAGGATAGGCTGACGCCTTTGATCTCGCAGCTCTGTCACCAAGTTCTTTATGTCGTGATTCAAGAAAGCCTGAGCGGCTCGGAGTCGTAGTCGTTGTACTTGATGAAGATCAGAGCCGGGAGTGCCCGAGCTCGATAGAGCCGAAAGTTCACCAGGACCTTCCCGGACATGGCCACTCAGAGTCAGGTCACGACCAAGTGTCCATTGAAGTGGCGAAAAGCCATGTATACGGGCCAAGCTGTTGTGTGAAGTAACCATAGCCAGTGCCACCTGACGTGGATGTTCCGGTCGTTCTCGAAGAAATGTTTCGATCTTCCGTCGAAGCGTGCCGATGGACCGCTCCACTTCACTGATGAATTGATGGTGTTCGGCAGGAGCATGTAGAAGTTCTACTCCGCGGGTGGCACACCAATCACGAAGAAGAGTGCCTCGGAGGGCACTTTCAGCGTCAAGTTTGATCCGCTCCGGGTAGCCAAAGTATTGCGTCCATGCCTCCTCAAGTAGGTGGCATACCTGCATAGAGGTGGCATTTCCACCTTTCGTCGACGGATGGTCAAACACCAGGCGGATCACAGCGTAGCCCGAGCACTCATCAACAAAGAGAAGGAAGTGGTAGACGCGGTCGTCGATTTTCATCTGAAAGAGATCCATTTGGAGGTCAGTCCAAAGGCGATCTGATCGAGAGAGATCCACTGGTGGTCGTGGAGCTTTGATTCTGCTCTCCAGGCAAGCGTCACACTTCAGCTGGGAGGCTGCGGCAATCAGCTTCTTATCAGCATGGCGAGCCTGAAGATTCTTCACCAGGAGGCGGTTCGAGGGATGGCCCAGTCGTGAGTGAATGCGATGCGCTCGCTCCATTAATTCCCCAAGTTCCGCAGCAGAAATGCCATCCAGCACCGACATGTCAACGGCGCCGATCAGGGCGAAAACTGCATCATTCCGGATCACCTGCTGCATGGTCTTGGCCAGGACCTTCGTCAAACCAGTTAGCTCTGTTCCAGAGCATGGCAAGCTTTGAAGCAAAGCGGTGGAGGTGGAGCGGAAACCTTGATCGCCACATCGTGTCAACCTGCCATCTGCATGGTTTTGATGCTGGTGCCAGAAAACACGCACGCTTGAGAGGAAGCGCGCTGAGCTTGCCATTGGTTGACACCACAGAACTTCACCTCCAGCATCAATTTGCACCTGGGTCACTTCAAGAAGATGTCTCACGACCTTTGAGAACCGTCTCCAGGCAGAGGAGCTCATATCATCATTCATTCCTTTGCGCTCTGGGCCCAAAGGAACATGGCACACCAACCAGCGTGGTCTCTTGTCCCGCACGGTTGTTTTCACTAACTCCGCTCCTCGGACAGTTCCGAGATCTCCACCTTCAGCGAAACCCAAAGTTTGAACCCATTCGCCTCGAGCTTGCAGTTCCTCTCTAAGGTCAGAAGGGGAGGCACAACACACCTCCAAGCCAAACAAAGAGGTCTCAGTGTCCTCCACTTCGAAGTTTTCGAGAAGAAGGTCTTGGAACTGCTGGTAGTCATTGAGGATCATCACCTTCTCATCGTCCGCGAGGAAGGATTCGCCAACATCACGACAGACATCAGCATCGATGCTCGACACCACAGAAAGAGGTCTCGGAAGAGGGAAGGAGGCTTGTAGTAGATCACGTCGCAGCTCGGGATCGAGGTCGCGAAAGGATCGAGCCGTATAGGCCGCCAAAGCTATGCGAGTACCTCGCCAGGGCATCGTAGCATGCCATCGGTCGGGGGTGAACTCCACCACCTTGTGACGAGGAGAAACCAAAATTCCCGAAGCCACAGACCCATTGGGTTTTCGCCGGCGGCGAGCATCCTCAGATTGTGGTTCATCAGGTAGGCGCTCTAGCCACAGTTCCCCATGCTCATGGTCGCCAAACGTGATGACATAGTTCGGCTGGCCCTTTAAGTTATGCAGGTCCCGGTGGGGCTTCGACTCCATGTTGTAGATAATGGAGAAGGTTGTCCAGTGAGCTGAAGTCGGAGCCCAAACTCGAAGCCATTGGTTGATGAACCTGCACAGATGAGGATTTTGGAAGGTGGAGTTCATAACTCCAGCCTGGGAGCCATGGGCGTAGAGGCCGTAGCTCAGCACAAAGGAAGATGTGTTCTTCTTGTCCATGAACTTGCGCTGAGGAACTGCATGAGCTGCCCGAAGTTGGAGCAGAAAGTTTTCCATCGTTGCGAGGGAGAAGTCCTTGGCCTGGACATAGGAAGCCGCCAAGGTTTCGATCGTCTCCTCGTTCTCCAAGAGGGCGTAGCTCACTGGTTGCCGTCCCCGCGCTGGTTGTACTCGTGGGCCTCCGCTGTCTCCTCGTTGCGCCGCACCGCTTTCCGTCCAGGATGATTCTGCATGCCATCCAGTTTCTCGTTCAGCTCGACCAGCACCGCCGAAGCCGGAGAGCTCGTCGCCGATGTTCCCGGAGGGGTCGAGCTGATTGGAGTCGCGGTAGTGTTCGGGCCCTTGTGGGACCCCTTCTTTGGCGTCGCACCTTTCAGTCCCGCTTGATGGCTCATGCGTGCCTGGCGAACTCGAAGAAGGTTGTCCTCGGCGCTCTTCTCCGCTGCTGCCCAGCCAATGTCCTTGTCCTTCAGCGTGCTCAAGTTGGGTAACTCTTCTTTGATCGCTGACTGCACGTCCTTCGGCAGGGCACCAGGAGAACGATGTAGAGCATGACACCCCGCACGGGGCGTGTAGCGAAGGCGTAAGAGGCACCGCTCGCATGCCACCCATTCGCCGTATTGATTCGCCCCTGAGGGGCTGCCTTTGTACATCCTCGCCGGAGTGTGTTCCCCATGACACGGCGGACCGCTGTGTCGGGGGTCGCGAGGATCGCTCTCGACAGACCTGTCCCAATCCAATGGCTGGGACTTGTAGCCGCCCTTCTTGGCCTTCGCCTTGGTCGCCTCCGTCCCGGAGGTCACGAATTGGTCCTCGCCCTTCTCGTTGATCTTCTGACATGTCGATGGCGCCGGCGGCGGGGATCGCTGCGCCATGAAGGGCGAGGAGCGAAAGCAGGATGCTGTGAGATCGCATGGACTCAAAGTCCGCGTTCTCGAGCCGGAACACATCGGCATTCACAGGGACCTCGTTGTACGAAGTGGATTCGGTACTGCACATCCCTTCAACATGATCAGCTTCTGGAACATGAGCACACAGAACTGGCATTGCATCACTCACAGACTGCTCCCCTTGCTCAATGGATTGCACCATGTACGATGTTTCATCACGATGCGGAAGAACCGGTGGCGCGACTCTTGCGCGAGGGTCAAAGAGACTAAAGGAGTGAACCATCAGGTCCTGTCGCAAATCTAGCAAGAGATGGCCTGTCACACTGCGCTTCAGCTGTATACCTCGGCACGGATCCACAGCACCCATGACCAAAATATCTTTGTGGCAGTCAATCACCGACTTCAAACGACGAAGTGTCTTTATGCCTATGAGCAGTGGCACTCCTTCCACGTCTAGAGTATAGATCCCCATTGGAACTTTGTGTGCACCACGAGAGACAGGAAGGAGAATATGCGAAGATGACATGTCATGTGACCCATTTCCGAACTTGAAGCGCTTGGGAGGAACACTGGTAACCGACACCTCTTCGACCTGATGTGTGAACTCGAATCGCGCTAGCATCAGAGACTCCAAAGCAGGAAGGCTTCCAACTGTCTCTGTAGCTCCTGAGTCCAAGACTGCAAATCCGTCCATATTTGATCCAGTTGCGGACTTCTGCACCAGGATCATGTCGGGAACGTCCTCTGCCCCAAGCGTAGAAACATCAGCAGGAGAGTGGTGCCCTTCATCATGCACTGCCAAGACTGACGGTAGCGATGGTGCAACACCATGGGCCTTGATCGCATCATCTGCCATGTGGACCATCGGAGAAGTCACGGAAGCTGTTCTGGTAGCCATCGGAGAAGTCGCGGAAGCTGTTCTGGTAGCCATCGGAGAAGTCGTGGAAGCTGTTCTGGTAGCCATCGGAGAAGTCGTGGAAGCTGTTCTGGTAGCCATTGGAGAAGTCGCGGAAGCTGTTTTGGTAGGACCATCGAGCATAAGGTCGTCTTCATAGACCATGTAGACCTCGGTGTCCGTGTGAAAGTGGACTTTTCCGCCACCTTTCCCAGAGCCCTTTGAGGATCTTCGAGGACAGTCTCGAAACTGGTGGTTTCGGTCTCCACAGATGAAGCATCCACTGTAGCCAGCCTGACCAGGGCTCACGGCAAAGGTAGGACTCTCACTCATCAAGACCGGCACCGTCATATTAGCCGAGGGGGACGAAGGAGCGGAACCTTTCTTGCCTTTGCCCTTGCCTTTCTGAAAAGGACGTCCACGGCCCTTTCCTTTCGAAGTACGGAATCCTTTTGACTGCGGCGTGAAGGGGTAAAACCCGCGGCTCAAGTGACGAGCTCGAACTGCCTTCCGGGCATCCACAAAGGACCGTAGCTTCGTGTCCGCGGCCTGATAGGCTTCCTCCACCTGTTGAAGCTCCTCGGCGGAGAGGATGCTCAGCGGGTCCTCCTCGTGGTCCCAAGTGGACGAATCCTCGCCCCAGTAGGCATCCTCGCCGACGCCATAGCGCAGATCATCGTGGTAGTCCTCCTCGGTGTCCCAAACATTGTAGGCGGTCTCGTGACCCACATAGTGAAGAGGAATTCCCTCGAGGCTTTCGTTGAGGTCGTCATCATCAGCAAGCAGAATGCTCCAGCGGCCTTCGTCCTCCACCCAGAACGACCGTCGTCGATTGCCGGGATGCTGAGCTCGAGGGTGCTCCTGAGCCAAAAGTTCATCTTCCATTCCCCGTAGAGCCACTTCCACACGATCAAGCTTCAGCGAATTGCCAGAAGCCGCCTGGACACTCAAGCGAGCCTGAGCACTGAGTCCAGCACGTCGGAGCAATAGCCAGCCCAAGAGCTCTGTTGGAAGCACTTCTTCAAGTTGCTCTTCGTAGCGGTTCCACAGCTCCAAATCTGCCAGGGCCTTGGTGCTATCGTCGCTATCACTGTTCTTACGAGGTCGTCGGGAACCGCGAGAGGCTGGGGATCGATCTGGCGCAGGAGACAGGTCCTCATCTTCGGGGCGAAGTTCTTCTTCATCAGGAGGCCCTGCCAACGTCTCTGTTTCATCCTGCTCGCCCTCAGTCTGATCCTCAGCAAGCGGCTCTTCTACGGTGCCCCGGCTGGTACGTCGAGAAGTGCGGGGCTTCGAAGGAGTACTGTGAGTCGTAGAAGAAGGAGATGACCGGGGCTCTTTCCTGGCCCTCGCTAGAGCCAGTTGAAGTTGGCGGTAGGCATCTCGGAGCTGAGTGGCCCACGTTGCCATGCTGGTGCCTGGGCTTCGTCGAAGACGGATCATGAGCTGCTCAAGCCTCAACCCCACATCAGGTATAGGGGTTTTGCACAATCGATCTCGAAGGAATTCGATCAGGTAGACCACTCCGTCACGACGAACCAGTTTTCGGTGATCTAACTCTTGTGTCACCACCCAGGCCCGACCACTCAGCTGGCCCACTATCTCGGGGCCCAACAAGTGGTGTTTCCGCCGAGCCGTCTTCTCGAAGGCAAGGCGGACGCACCGGAGGAAGTCGGCCCAACCGCCGGGTTCCCCGTTCCATTGGCACTTAAGCCATGAAGAATCTTTGTCGCCCGAATTCATGAATTACGCTGCAGCGCCACCGAAGAGGGACTCAGATAGGTGCACGGCCTTCTTGTCGGGGACTCTCACCCGGGATGTCGATGTTCAGCGGATAGGTGAAGGCACCGTCAGAGTCCTCAGTCACCAGCGCAGGACCGTGAGTGCCTCACAGTCGTAGGGAGCCCGGACCACAGCTCCGCTACCAATGTCACTGGCAGTTTGCCAATGACACTGGTAGACACAAGGATCCGACGATGCAAGCGAAGTGTAGCCGGCCTTTTCCGTTCTGCGAACGTCCACGAAGCTCTGGAGAGCCGCACAGAAGAGGCCTATGGCCCGAAGACAGCACTATGTGCCGTACAACAACTTGTAACCAAAGCTTGGGCCGAAGGAGCTCCTGTGCAGCAGAAAGGTTGTACAAAAAGCCTGGTTCGGAGTGTTTGCTTAAACATGCCGTGGCATTGCCTTCGACAGGGACAGGGCGTCTCGGGCCGTCGCTGGCAACCCTGATCCCCCAACTTTAAACACCCTTTGT